GCTTTCTGTTGTGTCTTTTTTGATGAGATGTCAGAGCAATTTTCTTTCCGATGACTGATCCTGCCACAATAAAAGTAAAATGAATGCAAATGTTCATATTCAATGAGATATTTACGTTTACCTCTCATGAAATGTGATATTAATGGTTTGCACAGATCCATTTCGACACACACACACACAAACATATTTGCCCCTTGCTGCCATTGATGTATTGATGTCCACCTTCAATGGTTTTCCCAAAACCTTAACGATATGGAGTAACACATTTTTGATATAGGCCCCGTCTGGTAGAGTTGTGGGAAAGTGATTATAACTTATAACCTAACAGCTTATAGCTTATAACTGTGAACATAAGCTGATTTTTGACTTATAAATTAAGCTTCTCCTCCCCCACTCAAAGAATAAGTTGATTTTTGACTTACAAAAAGTTATAAGCTGTATTGTTAAGCTAAACCAAATACATCAAAATAGCTTAAATTAAGCTATAAGCTGGAAATAAGCCTTACCAAACAGGGCCGTAATACTCAATTGGTAGATTTGGGAATCTAACCCAAATAGCAGTAGTGTCTTCCTCAGTAGCATCAGACTTGAAATCGTGTGGCCATTTTATAATGGTCACATAGTGATCCATAGTCACCCATGATCTACCAGTGTAGACTTTCGTGTATTCATCCATCATTTTGAATTTGACAATAAAGAATCCATTACTAATATCCACGGTTACGAAATCTGCTTGGAGTCCCCAGATCTTTTTCATTTTGTTAACAAAAAGTTTATAGCCTATTTTTTTCCCCAAGAGTCGAACAATTAGACATTTCTTCCATGGTTCTCTGATTTTTCTAAGAAGCCCAGCTAGTATCTTTACTTTGGGGATGCCTTCAATTTCGGATTCCTCTGTTACTTCCTTATTATTCTCATCGTTCTCGTCTTGCATTTCATCTTCATTATCTGATGATAGAACTTCCACTTCACAGTCAAAATTCTTTTCATTGATGTGTTCATTGAATCTGAAATGGAGAATGACTTGTTTGAAGGGTTTTTGTCCTTCTACTTCATTCAGCTTGACTTGGGACAAATTGATATCTTCGTCTCGCAGTTTGGTTGTAGCTAAATCTTCCATCCTTTCATCCTCTGGATCGTGGGTTTGATCTGCCTTTTGCTCATTACCTATTACTTCATTCTCCCTCTCAATCATATCCCCTTTGATTTTTTTTGTGCTCTTTGCCAAGTAATCATCCTCTTCGGTTGATCTGCCATGAGAGCTAGTTGTGTCTACAGCGGTCATGTGGCTCATAGAGAGAGAGAGAGAGAGAGAGAGAGTTTAGTCTAAGTTTCTCTTCATGCTTGTTTTCTTATGAAGTCTAATTATTGTTAGAGAAAAGTTAGAAATCATGAAAAAATTTTCATGAAAGATTTATGATCCTTGAATTATCTTGATTAATATGTTGTGCTTAATTCTAAGTGTAATATAAGGGTCACAAAACTTTCATGATTATTTTCATGAAAGGTTTTTCATGATACCTAACATTGCTGTTATTGTTATGGATTAATAGTAAACATGATTACACAATTGTCCAAAATGTATAATTAAATTAAAATAAATAAATTCATATTTAATTAAATTCAGATTATAGAATAAGAAATAATAGAACTACTTTATACTGGAGATTACAATTTGATAAACAGAAATATATAACAAATATATATTGAAACAAGAAAAAGAAAATAAATCGAAGCCTATGTAATACCACAGTCTTCTTAAAACATATTCGTTGTCTCATCGCGGGTGCTGGAGGTATGCCGATGTCTGTTGTAGCGACCCTAATTTTCTTAAGTCATTATTTATTATTATTATGATTATTATTATCTTATTTTATTTTTGGATTTATTAATTGTGTGGTCACATGAGAAGTTAATGTGATATTCAATTAATTTAATGTGTATTTAATTATATATAATTAATTTAAATATATATATATATATATATAAAAGGTGTTTTAAATATTGATAAAATGTATATTATATCTATGTATATATATGTGATAAGTGTAAGATATAATATAATAGTCAATTAGGTTTTAATATAAGTTGCTTGACCTAGTTTGGATCACGAAAGTGAAGTTCTCCAAGAAAAGCAGCAGCCGTGAGAAAGGGAGAAGGAGAGAGAGAGAGAGTAATCAAGATATAGAGCCGAGAAAGAGAGAAACAGTGGGGAGAAAGAACAAAAAGAGAGATAGAGGAGAAAAAAAAGAAAGAAAAGGAAAATGGAAAAAGGAAGAAAAAGATTAGGGTTTTGTTTTTGTGGTTTTATTAGTTTTTCAAATAATTATTTGATCTTTAAAAAAATATTGTGAGTACAAAACTCACTTCTCTTGATTTATGTTTAATTCGTTATTTTTATTTATTTATTTGATGTTAAATTGATTTTATATTTGCATGTAGATGATTGATTGATTTTAATTATTTTGATTAGTTGTACATGTAAGGTTTAGGATTTTTAGATGATTGATTGATTTTAATTATTTTGATTAGTTGTGTATGTAAGGTTTAGGGTTTTTAGATGATTAATTGATTTTAATTATTTTGTTTAGTTGTGTATGTAAGGTTTAGGGTTTTAGTTGATTGATTGATTTTAATTATTTTGATTAGTTGTGTATGTCAGGTTTAGGGTTTTTATATGAATTTATTTTATGGTTGTGTTATATGAAATTAAAACTAATTAGGAACCCATAGATAAATTTCTTATACTCCACCATGATTCCATGGATTGTTATTTTATTTGAGTGTTGGAGAGAAAGAGTGAGAAAGAGTGTATAAAAAAAAAATGAGGATTATGAGATTTATTTAAATGCCTTAGGCTTGGCATTGTTATGTTTGTTTTCAAAAGTGAGATGTTTTTATATGTATATTGTTGCCTCGTTCTCATGAGTAGACGAATGTTTTGATTTATGTGCGTACATACATGCTAATCATCCGGGGAGTGTGAGTCAAACTCAGGACGATATCCCTGAGCAAGTTTGGCTTCGGAGCGGTGTTAGGTATACAGGAGACACATGGGATATATATGTAGGCCGGAAGTGGATGCCAAAGTGGTGGAGTTAAGGTACAAAGAATTTAATCATGAGTTTATTAGTATAGTGTAAATTGTATTAATTTGTACATCTTGAAAAATAGTAAATGATCTCGATAAATTATGAAATTTGAGAAGAGACATATATACGTGATTCTAGACAACTTTTGTGTTTTAACTTTTTATTAAAAAGATCGATTAGAACTTATAATCAGATGATCTTAGATATTATAGTTTTGATTCATTTTAGCAATGCAGATTTTAGATGCTGTTTTAACCTACGAAACGAACTCATTTTTATTGGTTTTGCATAAATTGAAGTAAAATATTATTCTACACACTTTTCGTGTTTTGAACTTTTCCGAAACAAATCATCTTAGGGTAATTTTTGTTCATTTTCAACTTCAGATTTTTCGATTGAATTCTATCTAGGTTTTTCTATCAAGTTTTTCTCTCAACCTGTTCAGTTTCTGTTAAATTCGTTCGCGTTGTCTTTTAGAAAATTTGATTCCGTACAACTTTTGTTCTTTAAGTTTTGGTTAATTCGCATTATTTAAGCATGAAACAGTGTATTTTTATACTTCTTCAGCAAGTTAGTTATAATTAAATTATACTAACTTTATTTTTTTTTGCAGGACGGTGGGTCTTACTAACTTTTTTATGCAGGGCTGACCCACTATATTTTTATTTCTATTTTTTTTATTTTATAATCAATTTATATTTCGTTGTGTACAGACAAAAAACTAAATGCCACCGTATCTCGGGAAACTACCCATTCGTCTCGGTGCGGTTGGAACTACTTGTCTTGTCCCGTAATAAGAATTAAATGTATTTTTGTTTGTGTCTGGTGGACATGTGGGTGTTAAATTTTGTACTCATACCAATATACCTGTATACTGACCCGTTTTGTCTCTTGGCAACTCGGGTGCGTTCTGTTTGAGTGCAGCCGAGCTTCCTTTGCAAAATTAGTTGAGGCTATGGGGGTGACAAAAAATAACTATGATCGTAGGACATATCGTTTGAACTTTTTTTTGTTTTCTTGAGCTTAGGGTTGATATTAATTTATGTATTTATTATTTTTTTATGACTTTAGTATTGAAATAATTTGGCATGGTTTGTAACCGTACCTTATTTAAGTTGTTTTGACTAGTTGTTGCTACCTTAATGTTGAGGTATTGGTTAGTTATGAAATTATGGTGGATGGCTTAGTTGGCGTTTAGTTTTTTTTTTTTTTGTTTCACCCTTAGGATTTGGATGATGGAATATTGGTTGGGGTTTAGTCCTAATTTAATATTTAATTGTCCAAATTTTGGGGCGTGACATCTGTCTCCCAAGATACGACGGTTGGAACCAGCTAAGTCAGAAGCACCTTCTGTATAGCTTTGGCGAACTGACAATGACATCACTCTCTCACATAGGAAGAATTATATTTGTAGACTAACTATGTTGGATGAGATCAAAATTTATGTACTCCAACCAAAGAGGATGGCTTTTATATACAAAAGATGAGAGGGGAAGAGCCTTCCAGTAACAAATACAGAATTCATTTATGCAAAACTAAATAAACAAATGCAGCAAAGCTGATGATGTAAATCATCACCATAAGTGTAGAGGTTACACACAATTTACACATATGCATATATCTATAGCCACCAATCTGACCTAGTCCAAAAAAGATTAGGTTGATGGGCCATCAATCCGGCCCAACCCAAACCCAACCCATTTCAGCAAGCCTCAAGCCCAAGTCCCAAGTCTTAAGTCCCAATTCCCAAGATCCAAGATCCACAATCCATGATCACGAACCCGGACCCGGACTCGGACCCAGCCTTGGCCCGATCCGGTCGAGGATATTGCCAAAGTCAATGAATAATTGCGTAGAGTTGAGAATTATTGAATTGGGACAAAATAGTTTGACAGGAGAAATACAAGCATGGATAGGGATGCATCTCACAAGGTTAATTGTTCTTAGTCTACAATCCAATAAATTCTATGGAAGTATTCCTCAACATATTTTCCACCTTAACTATATTCAAGTTTTGGACCTCTCTCAAAATGATTTATCGAGAGCGCTACCACAGTGCTTCAACAATTTTTCTGTTTTGGTTCAAAGTAATAGTTTAGAAGAAACCATTGATTTCAATTACTCGATAATCCTTGGACCAGTTATTTACCTTAATGAAAACTATTTTGAGAGCAATGCATTTGTGCAATGGAAAGGACAAGAAAGGGAGTACTGAAAAAATCTAGGACTACTAAAAATCATTAATCTTTCTAACAATAAATTAAACGGAACAATTCCTCAGCAAGTTGGGAGTCTTGCAGAGTTGGTTTCCTTGAACCTGTCAAGAAACAATTTGACTGGAATAATCATCCAAGATATTGGTCAGATGAAAATGTTGGAAGTGCTAGACCTATCTGCAGATGGACTTTCTGGTGAGATTCCTGCAAGCCTTGCTGATCTAAATTATCTGAGTATATTGGACTTGTCAAATAACAACTTATCAGGAAAAATCCCATCAAGCACTCAATTGCAAAGCTTTCATGCCCCTGCATATTCTGGAAATCCTGAACTTTGTGGGCTTCCACTGCCAAATAAGTGCCCAGGAGAGGAAGTAGTTGTGGAACCTCCAATTTCTACTAAAGGGATTCAAGAAAATGAGGACAGGTTTATTATCTCAGGATTTTATGTTAGCATGGGGATTGGTTTCACCCTTGGATTTTGGGTAGTTTTTGGAACTATTCTTTGTGAGAGTCCAATGCGACATGCCTATGTCAAATTCTTGGACCACATTAAAAATTGGTTCTATGTGACAGCAGCATAGATTACAATTTACAGCTAGACTACAAAAAGAAGCTTTACGATGAATCGGTATGTATCATTTCGATTTTGTTACTTCTTGTACTCTTTTATGTGGGCATTGTTTATAGGCCACCCTTATTTACTTGTTAAATTTTTTTTTAAGATTTTATTTGTTTCGATGTAAAATATTTTACATAAAAAAATATGTTTCTTGTAAATTGATTTTATACAGAAACATATTTTTGTTTTTGTTTTTTCACATTTGGTTGACACTTGAAACAAAAATATTTAATTGCCTAAAATAGAAATTTTGATTCAATACAGTGTCATTTATGACTTTTTAATGAGCTAAAATATTTATTTAAAAAGGCTAAATCTGTTAAAAAAGTAGTGAATGAGAGGCAACTTTGTAAAAATTAACTTACGGAATTTTTAAAAGTCAATCATTATTTAGAAAATGATATTACAATATTTTTCTTAAAAAATATTTTACTTACTTTTGTTAGGATTAAGGCACACTAGAAATCAATCACACACAGAAACGAGACAAGAAATTTACGTGGTTCGGCAATAGCCTACATCCACGGGAGAGATATCCACTATAGAATTTTTTCCGGAGGGAGTTTACAAGTCTCACACCTCACTCTCTCTCTATAGCACTCTCACTCATAGATTACACTCTCTGATCTGTCTTTCTCTTTCTGATTGATCTAACTCAGCTCACCTCTTCCCATTTTATACACAAACGAGAATGCCAAACTCAACCTCTGCTTGCCAACAACCAACTACCAAAGTTAATGGTAGGCCACCCTATGTTTGAAAAACTTCAGCAAGTTTGTAGCCTCCATACTTGACTTCCATAGCCAAGTTCACAATGGTGTGGATACTAAATAATTCTCCCTCTCAACACCTATGGGGAGTAGGATCCTTACTGGAAGTCTATCCCAGTAATGTCCCTGCATACTTCGAGTTTGTCTATCGAGACCACATTTGTAAGCATGTCAATTGGATTCTTATCTGTGTGGATCTTGACCAGTTCCAATAACTGTTTTTCCATCACTTCGCGTATCCAATGATACTGGACATCAATGTGCTTTGTACGTGAATGGTACATGGAATTCTTGCTCAGATCAATTGCACTCTGACTATCACAATGTACCTTGTACTCTTCCTGTTGTAGACCCAATTCTTGGAGAAACTGCTTCAACCACAACATTTCCTTTCTAGCATCTGCGACAGCAATGTACTCTGCCTCTGTTGTAGATAAAGTAACACACTTCTGCAGTTTAGACTGCCATGAAATAGCTCCCCCATGCAAAGTTGAACAGAAATCCTGATGTAGACTTTCTACCATCAAGATCACCCGCTATATCGGCATCTATAAAACCCTCCAAAATTGGTTCAGCTCCCTCAAAACATAGGCACATCTTTGAAGTTCCCTTCAAGTACCGAAGAATCCATTTGACTGCCTCCAAATGCTCCTTTCCTAGATTGGCAAGGAATCTGCTCACAACGCCAACTGCATGAGCTATCTGGCCGAGTACACACCATTGCATACATCAAACTTTTTACTACGGAAGAATAAGGGATTGCCTCTATTTCTTTTCTTTTAGAGCTGGTCGTGGGACACGAACGCTTTGTCACCTTGAAATGGTTGGCCAGTGGTGTGCTGACTGGCTTGGCATATTTCATGTTAAACCTTTTAATCACTCGTTTAACATATTTCTCCTGTGACAGCCATATCTTCTTGGCTTTCTTGTCACGAACAATCTTCATGCCTAAAATCTGATGTGCTGGGCCTAAATTCTTCATGTCAAAATACTGCGACAAGTCCTTTTTTAACTTGTTGATCATAGCAATATCATGTCTGATGATTAGCATATCATTGACATACAACAGTAGGATGATGAAGTTTCCATCCGAAAACCTTCGGAAATATACACACTGGTCTGCTATTGTTCTTGTGTACTCGTGATCCACCATAAATGAATCAAACTTCTTATACCATTGTCTTGGCGCCTGCTTCAGATGGTAAAGACTCTTCTTCAGTTTGCAGACTAGATTTTGTTTCCCTTTAACTTCAAATCCTTCTGGTTGTTCCATATAAATCTCTTCCTCCAAATCACCATGGAGAAAGGTAGTCTTGACATCTATCTGTTCTACCTCCAGATTCAAGCGAGCTGCTAATCCCAGAGCTACTCGAATGGAAGTCATCTTCATAACTGGGGAGAAGATCTCTTCAAAGTCAATTCCCTTATTCTGCCCAAAACCTTTGACCACTAAGCGAGCTTTAAGCTGTAATATTTTACCGTTGCCATCTTTCTTCAATTTGTACACCCATTTGTTTTTCAATGCCTTCCTATCCTTTAGAAGTGAAACAAGCTCATACGTGTGGCTCTTCTGCAAAGAACTCATCTCCTCCTTCATGGCTTGCATTCAACAGTCTTTCTTTGTATGACTCTTTGCTTCAGAAAAACTTTCGGGCTTCCCCTCATCAGTAATCAGAATATACTAAAAAGCGGGATATTTGGTTGATGGCACGACAGCTCTTTCAGATCTCCACAATTGAGGCCCAGTTGCCTCTGGTTGAGGGAGTTGCTCCCCCTGCTCAACACCCTCTTCATCCGGTTCTTCATCTCTTTCCTCCTGATCCTCAATTTCTGGCATAGGATCCTGTAACTTTGGCACTTCTTGTTGCACATCATCACATCTAGCATTTTGTGATGGCTCGAAAGATGGGAACAAGTCTGAAGTGATGACATCTCTTGACTTTGCAGACTTCTCAAAATCTGCTACTGTCTGGTCTTCCTAGAACACAACATCTCTGCTCCTGAACATCTTCTTGTTCACTAGGTCCCACAACTTATACCCAAATGTTACATCTGGATAGCCCACAAATATGTATGGAGTAGACTTGTCATCAAGCTTCTGTCTATTTTCCTTGGAGATGTGTGCGAATGTCTTACACCCGAACACTCTCAAGTGAGAATGTGATACCTTTCTTCTGGACCAGACTTCCTCAGGTATCGCAAAATTCAACGGGACTGAAGGCGACCTATTGATAAGATAACAGGCTGTACGGGCGGCTTCAGTCCAGAATGACTTTGGCAACTTTGTCATTTTGAGCATGCATCTGACTCTTTCAACAATAGTGAGATTCATCCTCTTTACCACACCATTGTGTTGTGGGGTACCGGGAACTGTTGTCTCATGTTGAATACCTCTACTAGCATAATATGCTTCAAAACATTGGAAGTATCCTCACCACTATTGTCTGTGCGAAAACACTTCAACTTCTTTCTGGTCTTTCTTTCTACCATTGCATAGAACTCCTGAAAGCACTGAAATACCTCATCTTTCGTCTTCAAGAAATACACCCACAACTTCCTTGATGCATCATCAATGAAAGTCAAAAAATACTTGTAGCCGCCAAGTGACTCCACTTCGATTGGGCCACAAACATCCGAGTATACCATTGGTTGTTTGTTCAGATGACACCTCTATAGGGTAGGCTTAGGTTGCCCCTTGCTGTTCGAGTGGTTGCTCCATATCCATTGCTTGTTTGTTGACTGGCCCTTGATAACGAGATTCATAACTTTCAGCCTGCGTCGGTAGTTGGTGGAATGCTATGGTGGCCAAAGCTTGGTGTATCAAGGAGTCCATTCTCTGGTCATCTTGCTCCATTCAAATTGTCTTCTTCGCTGCCCGACTTAAGAATTGTAGGCGGCGCCGTACCAGGGACCTTTTCTGCTCACTCGTATAGCGGGAGTACTCTATTTCCACCTTACGTATTTCTGTTATGATCATTTCTTCAGCGGCAATCGCATAGCGTCGGCGGCTAAAGTAGAGGCTGACAGACAAGGCCCTCCTTCCCTGCATACGGAAAGTGCCCCACGAGTCGAGACTGACGCCGGGTCTTGGATGGCCTCCCAATGACATCCTAAGGTGGAAAAAGATTTTTATTTGTTAGTCTCTTTTAAATATAATAGTATGATAGTAAAATACGATAAGGTAAAGGGGTAAGGACTTCTAGAGTCGCATATTGGGTTGCGCAGGCTAAGGGTTGAACCTAGGCATTGATACCAAATTGTGACGCTCCAAATCTACACTATAGGTTGTAGTCAAGGGAAAGTAACTAATGAGTCCTATGGTCAACAACCAAGTAAGATCCCAGATTGCCGGAGGAGTCAAATTAGCCTCCCTTCTAAGTCTAACTTTCTTAGGTAGCGCACAACCTTTTTGACAGATCTTAAGAGGTATTGATAGAAGGTCTCATAAGCAATGTTAGGGTTATATAGGTGTTAGAATACAAGTACATAATAACCACGAATATCCTTAATTACAAAAGCTCGTTCCATTACATAACATCCCAAAAGAAAATTTAAATCCTCATATGAACCTTACAAAATATCAAAAGGGAAATTTCTAACTTTTCTAAGATAGCCAAAAGTCTTCGAAGGTTTCTAGCTCGTCGTCTCCAGTTATAAGCTCCTCATCGGCACCTGGCATGAAATGTCGTGAGCTTTGAATGCCCAGTAAACGCACACACACCCCGTCCCTTTTTCCCAGTCCAATACACAATCACAAATATGACAACAAGTAATGAAGCATGATATTCAACTAAAAAAGAAAAGGGTTACAAAGTTAGATGTTAGTAAACTAGAAATCCCTCAAAGAGACTTCATCCTCCCAACCACAAGAATCGGACGCGGATTATTCGGTATGCCCCTTTTTTTGCTGCTTTGTTGTAGACCTTACCTCGGATGCCTACCAATGGTTATGTACCTCGTAGCGCCAACCACTGGGCCTCAAAAGAGACGTTAAAATAGGGCCTTGCCCATTCCCTCACACCAAACCACCTAGGGTCCGAATACACAAGGGTTCCGAACAACTGCTTGCGCAAGACTGTAACTTTCAAAAGCGAACACGCCCCGCCAAACAATTCAATTGGGACATAAATTTATCTCATAATAATATTTTATATGATCGAGACCCCATTAGCCACCCCATTAAGTTTCTGTT